GGAGGTGGGAAATACAGATTCCAGTGAGGAAAATCAACTCAGGTCTCCCACTTCCAAACTGAGTGCTAGAAATATGAAATATAGTTCATAAAGGGATTATGGCAACAGCAGCAGCACACCACCAGGGGCTGAGCACATTTGGTCAACTCCGGGTGCATGGTGTTCTGCTTCTGGGCGACTTCAGCATTAAAAACCATGAGTGCATCTAGGGTTAGGCAGCAGTTGGGCTGGGGAAGGAGTTTAAGAACTGCCATATTGAACTTGGGCACCTACATCTTTTTTAATAGCGTTTAGGTGCCTAGGCTGATTTCTGAGCTCTGCCACAGCTTGCTGTGTGACATTGGTCAGCTCACTTCACAGCTGAGAAAATGGAGGTACAGAGACATGATGCACGAATGACAATGCTTACTCACCTTTGTCATTTGCTCTGAAACCAAAGGATAAAAGTGATTGGAATTTCCCCCTTTCCTAACGTTTCCTGTACGGAAACAGACAGCAGCTCTTTACACACTATGACAGAACCACTTATCACTGTCACTATACTGGTGGGATATCTGAACATACTTTTTTTTTTAAACCACCAAACTACTCTACTCTTAACTCAAGGGTAGAGTTACTTTGGTAGTAAGTGGTTTGAAGTAGCATGCTTTTTCTTGCCTTTTGAATGCATCATGTGTCCTTCTAATCTGGTATAGAATGTCTGTACTACTCACTCTTCTCTTGAATTCTCTGGCAGGACTTAACCTCTCTGTTTTCCTTTAATGGAAACAGGATCACACAGAGCAGTTGGCCCAGGGATCCAGAGCCAGTATCAACTCCTCTCTCTCCACCATCCTAGGTACAGCCTTTCCCAGCACTCAGGAGTTACAGTTCATTACACCAGCAGGCAGGGACCGCATCCACGCAGACCTGGATAGGTTAGAGAAGTGGGCGGATCTGAACAGATGCGGTTCAACAAGGACAAGTGCAGGGTGCTGCACCTGGGGAGAGGGAACCAGCATTATGGTTATAGGTTAGGGGCTGCCCCTCTCAGCAGCACAGAGGCAG